ACTAATCTTAAGGAAAAATAAACTCTTACATGCCGGAGTGATTAATTGATAAAAACCAATCATCAATGAGCTTAATCGTGCTAGTCGCAGTTGTTACGATGACTTGCGCCTGCTTGTTTAGGTTCGAGACCTGGGTTCGAGAGTTGGTCGGCTGGTTGACTTGTACTCACAGACAAGACACAGATTTTTTTTTAAAAAAAAGCTTTTGACTCCCAGGAAAACCCTTCACAAAAATACTGGATTTACCTTAATCGATAACCATCCTATCCAAGAGGGGGACCAATTATATTATTCACTTCATGTCAAAAACACTGAGTCCCCGCGATAATTAGTTGCCCGGCTCGGAAAACTTGAATTAACTGTCAGTTAATTACTTTCGGTTTGCGGTATTCAAGTGTTATAAGTGGGTCCATTTGAAAGTTACTTCACATGCATGTAGTGGTGAATTGAACCTCGTACTCGCCAGCAGGGATTACATAACTTCCCACAGATCCTGACAGGATATCCCACTTGAAAAAGATTCTCTAACTAGGAAATATTAGGTAAGAGCTTCTCTGGCTCAAAGCTAAAGAATTGTGCTTGGAGCATGAACGCCCTTAAAAATAAATCATTTCCTTTGTCCTCGTTTTCCTATAAGAGGTTATGAATTTATATTTTAAAGAGTAGGTCAAAGATTAAAGAAATGAAAGATGATTGGACGCAAAAACTGAACCTTTTGGCGAGCGTGTCAGCTTCATTAGCCCGAAAGATATTTTACAAACAACTTATTGTGGTCGATCATTTACACGCAATTTGAGGACGTTTATGGTTTAAGATCCACCGTGGGTAAAAAGCGAAATTAAAACCATGCTTGTGAATTTTTATAAGTTCAATAGATGGAGGATTTTCCGCTCAGTGTTTGAAGAAGAAAGAATATGGCACTGATGAGCGTGTGACAAACATAGCGCTCCCTTTTTGTCTCTCACTGAGCCACAGCGAAATTTATGGCAAATTAGGCCATATTCTATATAAGTTAAGATTTTTTCTCCTTTCTCCCTCTCCTCACAACAAAACAAATGACATCTTGGTGTACGTGATTTTACGCGCGGTAGAAATCGTAGAACATTGTAACCAAGCCTTTACTAAAGATAGCTTAGGACCGCTTAGGATTCTTAGTTCGGTTGACAATTTGAAGAAAAAGCTCTTCGATCATACTAGTTTTTTACATCATTGAACTACTGACAGATATTTCTGCGGTTAGAAAAATCTACAACTGCGCCGGATGATGTTTCAAAGGCTGACTTGAGGCTGCAATAAGAACTTGACGAATTATTCAATTCCCGAACCAAAATCCACTTGTAGTATTAGATAGAACTTAGGAAGAGAGATTTACGGGTCAAAATTAGAAAGCGGAAATCTTATTTAAGGTCTCGACGCTTCGCCACTCCCAGAGGGTCTTTTATAAAATCTTGAATATTTGTTCAGAAAATAGATGGAGACTAATTGGAAAGATCCTCACTCACATATGGCACGAGAGTACACTGTAAAACGAATCGAAAAGAACCTAATTCTACTACAAACTTGGATGAGCAAACTCGCTAGTTTCGATCTTTAGCCCTTCCAGAAAAGGTAAATATCACGTACGCTTTTAAGTTGACATGCGTAATCAATGTTTGAAGTATTTACCTCTTGAAACAATAGCGAGAAAATATGTATACAAGTTGATTTATTGCGAAAATTCCGTAGATTCCGTAATCTTGCCAGGTCAATGTCATGGACTTCGTGAGTTAAATGTAGAGCCTATCACAGAGTATTTTGCCAAAGTTCTGGAAAATTAAATAAATGAAGTCGTGAGGTTTATTACAACTCTTAAACTACCTGGATTTTTTGGATTAGTAGTTCTTCCTTGTAACTGCTACACATTTATTTGTTATTGAGTTAGGAGAATTTCGTTTTAGATTAAAAAGATACCTTTTAGCTGACAAACGGTTTGTCTTTTTTCATCGCCCTGGAAATGTATAGAAATTTTGTGGAGAACCTAGTAGAATTTTTCTTCCTACCAAGTAATTCAGTAGGAACCGTTTAATAATGAATCTCTGCTGTAAAGTCTGCGCAGAAGTTGCGCGGTAACTTCTTCTAGCCCTTTAGTTTAGCAAAGAACAAGGAACATTATTATTTTATAGACAATTCATCACTATTGATTAAGTCGGTTAGCGCAAACGTTTTCAGGCGGAAAACTCCTCAGTCGAAGCAATCCTGGAGTACTCCGTGCTGTGGACTAGCAACATCGGTATACACAATGTGGGATACACGCATTACGTGATTTCCTTTATTTTCACACATCTTTCTTGCTATTCCATATATCATTTTTGTTCTAGTTCAGTCCTCTCTTCAAACCTACTCCGTAGTCCTTAGTTCAACAGTGAAATATGAACATGACAGATATGACGTGGCTCGTTTGTAGGTGTGTGTGTTTGTTTGTTAACTTGTTTTGTTTTTTTTTTTAATACATGGAAAGAAACTCGACCACGGACAGAAATTTCCACCTTGCATCAATCGGGCCCCGTGTATCTGAACTACATATCACAATGGATTTACTCTTTTCTTCGCTCCTAGAACAACTACAACATTCCGAGGCATCGAACGCAAGCTGAAAGATGCGCAGCAGCTCAGCTTCTTTTATCCCATAATCCACCGTGTACCGTGACAGTCGACACAATGTTAGACGCCGCCAACCTGGCTTATGGCGCAAGCCCAGAAAGACTTTATATCATCCGGGACAGTAGAATAGTATACCAGGGAGGACCTGGTCCCATGTGTTACAAAGTGAATGAAGTAAGAGCATGGCTGGAGAATTACGCCGGGAGGTTCTCGAGTGCAGCGTGGGAAGGATAATGCAGCTTTAAACTGAACGTCGATAAATGTGGAGTACATATTTTAAACAGCCAGTCATGGCTCGTATAAAGCGTTTCTTGCCAGGGGAACAATAACCCTTCTTCTAACCAATTTGCAAACTTGCTGTTCGATTGTAATTATTCGAGCAAACGTAGCCTGGGGCGAGCTTTAGCTAGCCAGAATGACCAAAAACTAGAAAACCAGAATGGCACCAAAAAACCGTATTTATACCGTCAAGTTTTACTTGGCAAGTTCAATTATCAAGAATTAATAAGATTTCGTGATAGACATAAGCAAAGAAAGCTTGTTACGGCGCACTATGAGAAGGAAAACTTACTAGAGTAGAATTTGCTTTAAAACATTTTAAAATCTTATCCACAAGTGTCCTGACACCAAATTTCGTTCTCAAAAATTGAAATAAGAAAAGTCTTTTTTTTTTCATTATTTTAATCTGAAAGGAAATTTCTTCAGGGCCAATTTGAAAAGGAAAACTTGCTGCAAAAGTTGTGCTCAAAGAAGAGTAATTTATCGAGGTAGCGAAACTCTGGGCGCTGTGGGTTTTCGCTCTGCTCGGACAAATCCTTTTCTCTGGTTATCCCCGACTACGGTGGTCTGTATCTTCTCTGTGAGAGGTTGTGAGAGTGCTAAAGGTCTTAAATATGAGCAGTTTGTTTTCAAAACTACTTCAAGACGGATTGGCAGATTAGTGTGAAAATCAACCATAACTCACTCCTCGAATTTCGACAAAAATAGGACATTAATATTGTATTTGGCATTGGTGTTTAGAGTTATAGATATTTAAAACATTGTTATCATTTCCCATGGTAAGGAGAAGCTCTGATCACTTAGAAGTAAAAAGGTTACCTAAAATCGATATATCAGCGATTGGTTGGCTAAAAATATGAATCTTTTCTGAACTGTACATCGAAGAATGTGAAGTATATTTAAACTAGGAAGCTCTTAAGGAAGGCCATGCGTAAAAGGAAAGTTATGACATCAAGTTGACATTATGAAGGCTTGGACGCAAAAGTGCTTTGAGCACAGCTCTTGAGCCGGAGATTTATCAACTTTATGTGCAAACTTATTTCAGAAACCAGAACTGTAAAGAGCAACAATGACCTTAACACTAATTAAATGTTCACTGAATAACTAATATCACGGCCTCAGTTGCAGTCATCTGAGATGTGATGTTTTTGGTTCATCCCTGATGAATGCATCCTTCAGTCTCTTGAATCACCCGCAGACTCGCAGATTTGCTCGTTATTGTATTTAACGAGACTATTCAACCTAGCCTGTTCCAGGCCTTGTTAGTAGAACGGCCGAGTGGAAGCGAGAGAGAGGTTTGGGTCGGGAAATATTCGCTACTGTTGAGCTGATTACTATCGTGCTAACTGACCTAACAAACCTAGAACAGGTTACATTTGACTTAGAGGAACGGCAATTCTCATCAGTATGTACTAGTTTTGCGTGTGTTCCTTATTAGTGCAAATGGAAAACTGATATGACATTTAAAATCGAGTATCGAAAGTGATCATTGAGTGCCTTGCTTTCGCTTCACTTCGCTCTATGATTGGTCTAGAAAACTCGCGCCATTAAATCAACCAATCAAATCCAAAACTAAAACCAATTCCAATTGGTCGCTCGCGTTTTACCACGCTTCAGGCAGGTTGCCTGTTTCTACGTTTATTTCTCATTGGTTAATAATGATGTAAGCCTTTCATCTGATTGGTAGGTGTGATTAACTTGGTCTTGGTTTTACAGGCTCGATTGAAAAGTGCTCAAATCCCCTCAGCCCTGATGAGTGATAAACAATGACAATTCTGATCACGGAAACCAAACAAATCTTTCCCATCGGAAGAGAAAAATGGGCATTGACATATATATAACGTCTCCGCGCTCCTTCTTGAAAGACTTTTCAACACTTTCCTTTTTTTCAGGCATATCTTTCTTCAAACCCCAAACAATGTGTTTTCAACTTTACAATAGACCTGTTGATTACTTAAGTTTCGCAAAATTCGGTTTTTTGAAAACAAAAACTTCACATAATACCCGCCTCGGGCACAAAGTTAAAACGGTAAAAATTCAGCGAAATAAACAACATTTCACATTCCATGAAACGTTCGAGCAGCAGTCTATCTCTTTTAATCGGAGAAAAGTCGTTAGGATCAGAAGTCGCCTACAATCTCGTTTCACTGATACAAAATTTCCTAGTTCTACCAAGAAACGGTGAGAAAATTACGACATTCAAAATGGCCAGTCAAATTTTCTTAACTCGTCTGTACACATAAAATGAAGAAAAAGTATTAAATTTGAAAATCATCCGAGTCGTCACGCTAAAGAATCGTTTACTTCCACACACTGTTTATTGTTCAACAGTATTCAGATTAAGTAATTATATTTTTCCTACAAAACCAGTTGTGTTCTTTAAAGAAATCTGTTACTATTCGCTCTCTCAATTCTTTTCCAAATTGAGACATTACACAAGCTTTAAAAACATACACGAACTCTCCACGTTGTGCATACATAAGATGTCGTTCTTGAATGAAGAGAATTAAGAGCCCATGAGTTAATCTTTATATATATATGTACTAAAGACATAAATAAATTATATACTAGTCAAACATTAAAACAAAGTTCAGTCTCATGACTTGCTTCCAGAAGCAAATAAATCCCCTGCAGACGGTAACGGAGCTAGACCTCCTGCGGGATCTGGAAGCTTCGTAAGGTCTGGGAGATTTTCTAAATGGGATTTCAGCTCTTGTCTGACAAGTTGAACCTTTTCCTGTTTGGCCTTGTATTCCTGAGAAAAGTTCATAAATAAAAGAAATGAATAAGTAAACAAATCCCTTGTAAAAACAACTTTAGTCACTGAGGTTACAAAAGACGTCTGACAAGCGAGGTGATTTACCACGTTTATCTGAAGATAAAATGTTACTGTTAATAAGGAATGTGGCTTTTGCTTGAGTAGTTTTGTGGTTAATTTAGTGGCATAGTTTGTTTTACCTTACTATTTTCTTTGTTTGTGTCAAACTGGAATTTAACATAGAGACAGCCCTCTCAGCAATGGAAGACCCCATACATGGTACTCTCTTCACCTTTGTGTAGCAGCATAGCTACACACAAAGGCAACTTTATTTGGAGTCCATCCGGTAAAATTGAAGCAGAGACAATTTTAACATACGAATGGCAAGCAGAAGTACATGTACATCACATCCACATCTGATGTACTTTGCCACATAAAGAGAACAAATCTTTCTTCTAGAATTTTCTACTGAACAGAACAGACCAAAGATCTGCAGCAAACAGTGGGGGAAAAAATGTTAACCTCCCAGCTGCAGTCTGCAACTCAATCACATCTGTGCCTCACCTCCCAATACCACTTCTTGCTTTTATTTATTAATTTATTTACTGAGCTTCCACCCCTTAAAACATACAAATAACATAGATATAATAAAATAATATGATAAGATAATAATGATGATAACAAAGGGGATGAGGAATGACAAAACAGAGCGAGGCTCCAAATTAAGTGCTCCCAAAAAAAAACAAAAAAAATATAAAAATAGATAAAATACCGAACTACAAAACAACATTTGCATGGTGTGTTAGGGAAGCCCTTTCCCACCAATATCCTACCTGATACAACTGCAATTACCTCAAGTTTTTTCTCTGATTCTGCTAGTTTATCTTTCTGTAGCTGTATAAATGCGGCCAGCATTTTGGATATTGCTGTTCTATCTTCCAGCTCGGCAGCGAGTCTACCATTATAATCAGCCAGTAAAAAACAAGCCTCATCAACAATCTTGGAAAGACGATCACCGGTTTCTTTATCTAAATCATGCAACATAAAAATTCTGTTATCAAACTAGTTCTTGCATATAGTTTGCTAAAATGGAAATGGACAAACTTCATGCAATGTACTGCCTTTACCTTCGATTTTTTCTAAAAGAGATACATCTTGAACTTCAGCTGGTAAATTAGCAATCTTTTCCCTGACAGCTGCATCTTGTGAAGCAGAATTTTCAAGCTCCATTAATGCTTTAATTAAATCCTCAGGCTAGGATCAAAACAGCAACATTCAAAAGATAACCACTGATCACAAAGTCAAATAAACATTGTGGTTAATAATTTCTCTATAACACTCGACTCTGATAATGACATGCATTCAGGTTGTGGCAACATCCAGCACTATCATAACAACGCCTTTTTAGTGGGACTACTTTTGCCAGCAAGATTACTGTAGACTGCATGATCACTTAACAGCCAAAGGGTTTTCCTGTTATAAATTGAGGGACAGTAGAAAAGTGTTGACCATCTGGAGGATGTCATCATCATCATTATCAAGTACCGTATTTACGCGTGTATAATACACACCCGTGTATAATATACACCCTAATTTTTTACCTCTTTTTTCTAAAAAAAAAAAAGATTTCAAGACAAACACCAAAAATTAAAACTTCTATTTTTTCATTTAATTAGCAGGTGAAGAGCTCAAGAACAGTTTGGCATTATACCAGTAAGTTGTCTCATGGAAGCTGATTGTTAAATTTGCCCTTATTTTCATAGCCCATGGTAAGGCTCAATTACAATTCATTACACGACTCAGGCAGTGAGAGGGCCAATAACTAAAATCAACCAATCAAAATGTTCTATTGCCGGTCAATATTCTCTCAGTATTGGACCGGGCACTGTCCCGTATGGTCCCAAATGATACCGCACTTGTGTCCCTTTGAACTTCAGTCGTATAATAAATCTCTTATTAACAAAGCTTCCTCGGGACTGTACTGGAAGAATATCGGCTCTCAGTCTTTTTTGTACGAACCGAGCTGTGCTCGGTCCGTATAAAAAGACTGAGAGCCGACACAGCTCGGTCCGTACTGTTAAGACCTCAGGCCAATATTCTCCCAGTATGGCCCTTGCGCTTGGTTAATAAGGTATATGTATCAGCTGTGTTTTGAAAACTAACTCTTCACTTGTCTTTCATACTAACAGCAACTCAGGAACCTTATCAAAATGCCATTCATTGTCCTTGCAATTCTCCCTTTTAACTTTTTCTCATCCCCGAGTGACCAAGAGTGATTTCTCCTTATGATAAAAATACTTTATCAAACAGACAGGTGATGAGAACAAAGAAAGAATATCAATGTGGCAATGCTAACTGATCAATCACTAATTTCAAATCGGTAGGAAATGTATGGTACACAGTAATGAGAATTGCTAACTACTGTATTGTCTGAACCCTTTAATCCCTAAAAGTGGCCAGCATCTAATTTCTCCAAACATTGTCACCCCTTAGTCACAAGAATAAAGGAAATGATCACCAACACCAACTAACAAAGCTCTAGATCTTTAAACAAATTCTCCTTGCCAGCACCTTAGGAAATGTATAGAGAATATATACTGATATTTGGGTGTTAAGGGTTCAGAGAANATCTGATTTATCATCACGGGTTTATTACGAATCAACTTAACAGCCTGCTCCCAGTTGGCTTGTTAGCTCAATTGGTAGAGCGCTGCACTAGTATCGCAGAGGTCAGTGGTTCAAATCCCGTACAGGCCTGATTTTTTTTTTTTTTTTTTTTCAAGTGTGATTTTCACTACTGCATAAATAGCGCTATCTACTGTGAGGATCGTGCATCATACCATCAATATTGTTTGCTATTTTCATCCTTCAGCTGCTTACCATATTTATTCAACTGTAATTAAGCTGAGTGATTTTTACACAAATCAAAACTGAAGTGAATTAAAAATTTGGGCTCAAGAGGGGATCTTGGCTTTTAGCTGAAAGTTTTTAAAAAATATTTTTTCCAGTGCATGGAAACTCTACTAAATTTGTATGGGTAATCACATGATTTCAAGTGTAATTTGGAATAAATATGCATGAGTAGACTAACAAAATTGCATGAGCCCGTTAAGGGCGAGTGCAATTCGTGGTCTTTGAAAAAATTTACAAGGGCTTACTTATTCCAAATTGCACGAGAAAAATCATGCGATTTTGTATTAATAATACACATGAAAAAATATGAGGTAGCTTATCATAATTATGTAGAAGAAAAGCGCATGCATCAAACCTTACAAGTGACATTGTACGTTCAGTCAAAACAACCGCATACGATCAAAACAATGAGATAAAATGAAATTTTCACTTCTTTAAGGCGCAAAAAAGTCAAAGTCCGGCCAAACAGTTCAAGGAATTGTTCAGTGAGTTTGGTAATTCTGTGAGTGTCTTTGATTATTGACCAATCAGAATGTTTGGTTTGTTACTTTCTTGGCACTGAATTAACCTTCTTCTGCACTGAATTAACTCTCCTCTGCACTGATCATAACCAATCAGAACTGAGTAATTTTTTCATGAATATTATTAATTGGTAATATTTTATTGATACTGTGAGGAGAATGAAAGGCTTCAAACCAGTTCTATACAAACTGTAACACCACAAACTTTTTTAATCCAGAATTTGAGAGTTGGCACTTACAGAGTATATAAATCTCCTTTTCTTATCCTACTGTAAATAACAATCCGTAGCATTCACATCAAAGCTTTCTGCCCATTGACCATACTTTAGACCTGACAATGAAACAATACCACTCCTTTTTTGAGGCTTCCTCAAAAACATTTAGAAAATTAAGAAAAAAAATTGAAAACAAATTAAAATGTTGGAATCCATCTCTCTGAGCAGCTTTGATTGACAACAAAGTTTTTTCTGCCTCTCGGTCAATCTGGCTTGTTAATTGTAACTACCGTAACCAGTTTTCAGCCAAACTGTCAATTGACAGAAATTCTAAACGTTGATTGTTTCCCTTAACACTGTTTAAGTCATCTCTATCAACTCCTGTGTTATTAAGCAGAACACATTTGATTTTATCCTTATATCAAGAAGAAGTTGTTTCAGGGCAGGTATGTGTGAGTCTGTTTTAATTTGTAATTTTTTTCAAATCCTGGGGGTAGATGTAGGTAAGTTTTGTAGAATTTTTTCTAGAGTTCAGTGGGCGAGTTATCTTGTCAGAGGTATGTGCAATTCAAAGATTATGATTTCTACCTCCTGCAGGCACACGTTATTTCATTCGAGGGCTTGATGCTGAAGGAAATGCTGCAAATTATGTTGAAACTGAGCAGATTACTCAGTTTGAATCCGGAGCATGTTCTTTTGTACAGGTAGCATTCATTCCCCTGTTAAGTGAAATCAAATCATTTTTTAAACTGTGTCCTCTTTGCTCATGTCTACTTTCCTTTTCCATAGACAAGAGGATCCATCCCACTGTTTTGGTCTCAGAGGCCCAACCTTAAATACAAACCAGTACCTCTGCTAAATCCTTCAGCTGACCATGTAAGTGCAGAAGAGCTACATTGTTCACCATTGAAAAAATATTTTAAGTCATTTCTGCAAGATACGTGAAGCTCTTTTATTACATTCTGTGAGCAAATTCTTTTGTGAGGTGGGCAGAAAAAAGTAGATTGAAGAAAAAAAGGATTAAAAAAAAAATAACTAGTGATTAAGTCTCATAAATAAAAGATTTGAACCCAGTACTTCATTAAGGCGACACACAAGCTCTCTATGGAGCGGGGGTTGTGAAGAGGGAAGGAAAGAACAGAGGACTTAAGACAGAACTTGCAATCTTGTCTCATAAGTTTGAATTCTTCCCCCAGAACCCCTTGTTGTTTGCCAGAAACGCCACTTGTGGGGAGCTTGCAGGCAGTGTAATGCCTGAAATAAAATTGAATTAAATGTGTTCAAGACCAATATGTCAAGTTGGGAAAATTTTTGTATTGCATAAGATAAGAAGTTTAGAGCATCTTCGATAATTTCACTGATTTGATATTTTGGCAGAGAGGAGGATTTGCTCTCCATCTAGACAAAGAAAGAGTTTACTATGGAGAACATGTTTTAATAAACCTTGTAAGTATTAATTAAAAGAAATTCAATAATTTCTCTTATTTCAAAAACATGGGAAGACAATGATGTTGTCTTGGGTACCATCTTGATAAGTGGTAGTTTTACTTTCCAATAGGTCCTTTTCTATATTCTACAAACATTATCAAGGCTGAATCGACCTTTTTATCAGGAAAAAAGCTTTATAAACAGAGTGAGAACTTGTTTTATGTTCATGTTGGAAGTTGAAAATGGATATTTGTGTGTTGAGGTTAAGCATTGGTGGTCATTGTATTCAGTGCTCTATAATTATACTAAGGCATTTTGAAATTACTCCCAGAGGTCAAATGGTTAACATATCCTTCTATGTCTTCAGATTGCAGTTTTTAATTCGTAAAATCATTCTCAAGAGCATTTATATGCCATCAATTTCCCGTTTTTAAAACAGATTGATCAGAAAGGCCCAGAGAAGATTTTAGGTGATCGCTACACAGAGACTGTTAGTACAGTAGGGTTAACCGACAACTTCTTGAGGTAAAGTGTATAACATGGAATATTTTTTGGTAGTTTCAAAATCTTCTCCACCATGTTGACGAGATAGTATAGGATCACTGACTCGTATACAATATGTCATTCAGCAGTTATGTCATCAGTTTCTTAACAAATTCTTTTCATTGGTAAATGAAAAACCAACCACCATTAAAAATTTTTATCAAACTTCTGTCTTTCTAGTTTTATTACATCTTTTTAAAGTTGGTGATTAAATTACATGGTCTCATGCATGCCAAGTCTTCAATAAATTATGTTTCACAAGTTGGTGATGAGCTACATGTGTACTGTAAATAACTCTTAGCTACTTGAGCTCAGAATATTAACATATTGACATCTGTTTTCCACTTTGAAGGACTTAACAAAGGAACCTTAAGACAGTGTGTTAGCTGTTTTCTTTGTTATTAATTTTGAAATTATAGATATGAGCCATTCGATTTCCATAAAGAGTGCAGTAAAATGAGATGGGAAAGATTGTCCATTCTAACAGGCAAATTAAAGGGAGATCAGGACAAGTTTGGGTATGTCCTCAGTCACTTTCATTTGATTTTAAAAAAAATTAGTTTGGTAAGCATGCGGTGTTCTTCTTTTCAGGCAGTAACTAGTAAAATTTACCATCCATAATTATTTAAAGAATGCTTGTTACTTATGTTGTTATGTTCACTATTAATAATAATTGTGCTCTTGTTATATTCCTATATAAGGTTTTTCTCTGTCCGAAGTAAAGATGCTCAGATTGACACTGAGCAAAAGGGAGTTTTCAGGACAAATTGCATAGACTCACTTGACAGGTAAATAACCAAACACAAGTTACACGTCAGTCGAATAGAATTCATATCACTATTTCTTCCTATAAATGTTACAATAATTATTATAGAAGCTATAGATGTAAGGGTTTTAGAATAATAACATTGGTTTGTGTTCTTTTTTTTTTTTTTTCGAAGAACAAATGTTGTTCAAAGTCTGCTGGCAAGGAGAAGTCTTCAAGCACAGTGTGAGGTAAAGCTTGTCTCCTCTATTATGCTCCTACACATATTTTAGCATTAGAAGTCAATTGACGGCAAGACTAGAGTTCTACTTTTTATAAAGTTGACACACAATCTGTAAAGGCTGATAAACAATAATAGTTGTTACCTCTTTGAGTTTGTTAATAGTCTGTGTTATTGTATGTAAGGCTGGTTTTGTGAGTAATAGGTTGAAGCAAATCCTATGTCCCTATCCACCACCCAAGAGTACAAGGTGGGTTCAGAACTGCCCACTTTGATCCTGCAAAAAGAGAAAAGTGTTTTAGCCAGTTTACAATAATAACAACTCTATTTTTTTAAAGAAAAAAAGTTATCTGACACTTTTCAAAGCCATGTAGTCCTACCACATATCTTTAGACTGTCAACACAATTGGTGAATCTTTATAACTTAACTCATTTTTACAAATCTGAGCTCTATGACCTCACATTTGGTCAAGCTGACAGTGATAGTTCTGTATTACTAGTAAGTGTAAAGAAAAAAGAATGTTTATTTGCGTGCAACTCACAACAAAAATGTGACTTTCATTATAGCGATATGAGATTCTAAGCCCAGGAGAGAGAATAGAGAGTTTCACAGGAATGGAACAAGTATTCAAGAATGGTAGGTCGATAATTACAGGGAGCTGGGATGGCACAGTTGTGAGATATAGACACCAAAGTTTGTTTCAGTAAACCTCACTGTATTTGTATGTGCTTTTAATTTCCCAAGTGGCATAGTTGTGAGATGGACGCCAAAATCTGTTTGAGTAAACAGTACTTTACTGTATTTGTACGCACTTTTAATTTCGCAATAAACTTTGACTTCTTAGCATTTATATGGTGTAAGTTTGGTATGATATCATTCATATAGACAGAAATCACTTAGTGAAAATCACTTGGTGAATATCACTTTGGTTTTGCTGTTCACAAGCTGATCATAATCTTTGTGATATATTTCATTTAACATTCCATTATTGAGCCACTACACCTGACTTCACAGGGCTCGACACTAACTTTTCAACCTACTTGCCAAGTGGCAAGTGACAACTTAGATGTTATATATAACAATTCCAGTTTGTTTGCTAGGCAAACTGGTTAATGGAAATCGAAAACCACTAGCCAAAACTAAAATTCTACTAGTCCTTGGCTTGTTGGCTACCATTAGTATCAAGCCCTGCTTTAGAGTCTCTTTCTCTTTTTGCAATGCACTACTACATCTTAGCTTTCATTTGATGTAAGTTTCACACGAGAGGCTATACATAACGTTTAAATCAAATCGCTACTGGTGGCAATTTGACTTTGAGTGGTGGCAAGTTTTGTGGTGGTGAGTTTGTTGTGGTGGCAATTTGACTGTAAACCTGTGAGATGGCTCAAATCCCACTACTGTGACCCAGGTTCAATTCCAGGTGTGGCATGCAGGTTGAGTTGGTTGTTGGTTATTGTCTTAATGTTCAATGGGTTTTCCTCCCTCCTCAAAAATCAAAACTCCAAATTCCATTTTAATCTGGAAACAATGAACAAGAAGAGCCACCTTGTGGAATGTCCACTGTTAAATTCCTATTCCCACCATTAGTGTCTGCACCTTGTAGTATTTTTTTATATAAACCTTGTGTGAAAAAATTTAACGTCTGTACACTAGAATAGAGGCTGGCTATGTACTTTCCTTAAGTAATACATTATTGCAAAGTTCGTTAACTCATTTTTGTCATTCTCATTGTTGTTATTGTGGAAATTCATGTATTGATTTTCTTTCAGTCTGGGCAGATAATGCCGATGCATGTTCTGTGCAGTATGCTGGAACAGGAGCTCTCAAAACAGATTTTACAAGGTATTACTCACACTGTTCAAAAGTTTCTTAGTAAGCATGATTTTTCAGCAATGTTAAAATTAATTACCAACTGAAGGTAATATTTCTGTAACATTACAATAAGTAATATTATTACATGACTCGGGCAGTCAGAGGGCCAATAGCTAAAATCTACCAATCAAAATGCTCTATTGCCGGTCAATATTCTCTAAGTATTGGACCGGGCACTGTCCCGAATGGTCCCGAATGACACCGCTCTTGTGTCCCTTTGAGCTTCAGTCGTATAATAAATCTCTTATTAACCAAGCTTGCTTGGGACTGTACTGGAAGAATATCGGCCCTTGGTCTTTTTGGTACGGACCTCGCTGCTCTCGGTCCGTACTGTCAAGACCTCACGCCGATATTCTCCCAGTACAGCCCTCGCGCTTGGTTAATAAGGTATATATATTGTAGCTCACTACAAAATTGGGTGCAAGTATACAGACTGTGGTACTGAGCATACAGTTTGGATAATATACCATTTGGTTTGTTAAAATATTTTAATGTTTTATTCCTTCAGGTTTGCCTCTGATATAATCTCTTCCCTTCTCCCCTCCTAATTTCAATTTGAGACCATAGGTCTCTTAAGTGGTATTGGCTTCTCCTGGACACAACAGATGCCATTTAAAGTGGGTTGTTGACCTGTATTAGGCTTACTAAACCTATTATATTTGTATCACACTCTTTGCAGGACAGGAAAGCGTTCAGCACTTGGAGTGTTAAAGGATGGTTTTAATTCAGCTGTGCGATATTACAAGAACAATTTTGCCGATGGATTTAGACAAGTGAGTGAATCATTTTTCCTTTGCACAAAGCATATTCAACTGTGTGGATTTTCTTCCTGTTCTGATATGTTCTTTCCTAGTGCAAGATTGTTCACAGATGACCTTAAGCTATTTTGTCTTTTTGTGTCCAGGACTCAATTGACTTGTTTCTTGGAAACTATGTGGTAGACCCCAATGAAGGAATATCCAAGCCATCGCCTCTAGAAACTCACAGAGATTGGAGGTTTATGGCTGTAAGTCTGGTGTTATTGATTTTCTGGTGATGTAGCCAAAAAAAAAAAAAACGTTTGAATCCTGATTACTTATTTGACACATCTGTTGTTGTTGTTGTTGTTGTTGTTGTTGGTGTTGTTATTGTGTTCTGACTTGAACCTACTGAACTGGTACCGTTGCTTTTCTGTTTTACATTCCCAGCAACATTCAAGTGCATTTTTTTTTTTGTTTTAATCTTACTTCTGGTTTCACCATTTCAGCTTCCCATGATACTTTTGCTAGGATTCTCCATGTTTGTAATCAGTGTTTTAATTCCATCAAGTAAGTATGATATACCATGTAATGAGTTCACCCAGATGGCTGATGCTTTTTTCTTTGTGGTATTAAAAATTGATTCATGCAAGCTTTGTTTCGTTTGGCTGCTTTTCAGTCATGGTAAACTTTTTGAATTTTTCATCATTGAACATCACCTGTAGTGACATGTTGTTTGATTTAAAATCATATCCTAAACAGCTACAAGATTTTTTAAGTTGTGTATATACCAAAAGANACATCACGGCAAAACCAACCGATCATTTCACACGAACTGGAATAAGAACATTCTACTGACAACAATCACTCACTTGACTCTGATGATGACTTCCGCACAGGTTGTCGAAACGTCAGTCACTGCCACCGACAACAGTCCTTCTCAGGACTACACTCACCCGGACGATCAGACTACACCTTCACATGTTACCCCCGGGTTCAAACCATTTACTGCATTAATCATACTTGTAGGCCAGGACTCATTTTATGTGATTTAATTGTAAACTCTCAGGACCAGTGTATTTCAATCTCTTATCAGAAGGTACAGTGAAAGTGCAAATGACACTTATTAAGACCTAAAAAGTATTACCGTAATTAAAATATTAATACTGATAATTTAAAGTTACAGGTAAGAGCATAACTGATGTGGTTGTATCAAAGAAGTAACTAAAAACTCAAAATCGAAAAGTGTACTATGCAAATCATATTAATAAAACTAATTTGAAATTTCTTAAAATTAAACAAAGTGTTTTACTTTACTGTTACAACATGCACAGCTTCTCTAGTCAAGACAAAAATCCTATTATTAGATGCCTGGAGCCCAAGGATTTCATTGTCAGGAGTTGTTAATGTTACAACTTGTTGGCTGGCATGTTTGGCCCCCCCTTCAGGTTGTTGGTAAACATAAACATGTCTTGTGTTGTCACATATCACAGCATAGGACAAATCTGGGGCGCATGTGGAGAATTTGCGATCCCTTTTAGCAGCCTGAACATAACCTAAAGCATTAAATGTTCCAGTGTGAATCCAGTTAGACTCGCTGTCCGAGTGTGCCTTGGGCTGCCACACAAGGGCATCAACGTCATGGCGTATGCAGAATGCAGGAGGGAGATTCTTATCAAGTGATGCATTGAAAATCCACTGATGACTTGCTAAACAAACCTGATGTGGAATGAAGATTTTTCAACTGTCAGACATGTGCACTTTTTATTAACGTAAACTTAAAGTTGATAACCACAACAAGGCTTGACACAAATGGAGCCCACCAGCCACAGACTAGTAGAAATTCAGTTTTCACAAGTGGTTTTCAATTTCCACTCAGCAGTTTGGCTAGTAAACAAACTGAAATTGTTGTAACTTCTAAGTTGTTACTAGCCACTTGGCTAGTAAGTTGAAAAGTTAGTGTCAAGTCCTACATGAGCTTGAATGATATTATTAAGGGAATTGAGTATGCTCAAAATCTAGATCACAAACAGACCACATCCTAGTTTCAAAGGGTTTCTAAAGCAACCTTTGGTGTTGTGCCAGGGTATTAAAAGATAATTTGGTTTATCAACACCGGGACTTGATAGTGTAAATTGGCCACTGTAACAAGTGCTTGCAATAGCGTTAGCCTTTCGTTAGCTCTTTGTAAGAACTTCCTACTATGTAGTTTAGTCTGAAGGAAAATATTGCTACATAGTAAAATTGAGGATAAGCAGAATTTCTCAAAATGCCTTTTTTTTGACACTTGCTCCACATTATAAGCTTTGTGAGTCGGGAGGGGAGTTCTGGAAATACATCAAGTGGTGTGCAAATCATTTACAAGTTGACCTGATAAAAGGAGCCTTAATTGTAAAAAAAAAATTCAAAGCCATTGATACACACCTTGTGTGTTACCTCTCCAGTTTTAACATCCAGCCGAAAGATGTACTCAATATCCTCTGGGAAAGCATCACATTCTTCGAATTCTTCATTACTAAATGACATCTTACTTTCCCGTGACTTTTCCACCTGGATTTCAAATTTTGATTGAAAAATTTAAAATAACATCACTACTTTTGATGTTCATTTCAAGTTTTTTCTGCTAAATGAGATGAAGTAAGCAATATAGCAATGTAAAGCTAATTTACTTTACTAAATAAAAACATCAAATGTGCAAGATGATTGCTAGTTAACATAGTGTTCAGGTTACCTCTTTTACATGGCAGCATTAAAAAATTAAAGTTTAGAATCTAACAAATCTGTAGATAATAAAGCCATCAGGGATCCAATAACATGAATCCCCAACCAACATTTAATTGAAACAGGTCGAGTTCAAACAATAGCAACTCCTTGGGACTTAAAACTGATGTGCTATTTAAGAAAGTTGCAATACAACTATTTTTGTTGCCAGTTGTAGATTGCACTGCACTTAGGAATTCAAGATTTAAGCTGAACATCTGAGGCATTGAAAATATCAATTACCATTTTGTCTGATGTGAGGTGTTCCAATCTGTTGTGAATCTCCTTTACTCTCTCCGCCTCCTCACCTACCAGTTCATAGACACCTCTGTCATCACCTTGAACAACACTGCTCCAGTGGTGTTCATGAACCTGCTTTACAAGGACCAGTTCCAAACTATAAAGGAAAAAAAAATGTTTACTTTCAGAAACAAGACGCAGTTGTCTCTAACTGGAAAAAGTCTGCCTTATGTCTGGCTCAAAAAAATTTCCTATAAGTTTAAGTTTAAGTTTAATTTATTCGCCACAGGAATGGCAGGAGAAAGGAACAGAACTTTCATTCCAATTGACACCTAACCCCTTTATTACCCACCCATCCCATCCTGGGGAGGACATCCATCACACAGTACTCTCGTGTGTGGGAAATTAACGTCTCCTACCCCAACCCTGCAGGAGACAGGACCTCCATTTATCGTCCCTATCCAAGAAGACTAGAAAGTCTAACCATTTGCAGATATTATTACAAAGGCAGCACTTTCTTCTCAGTTAATTAAAGAC